TATGGTGCTGCTGGTCGTTTTTTCTCATAGCGTGAGAAACTGAAACCTGATTATCAGCCAGCTACGATTTGCATAAAGCGAGGAAATATTAAATTTCCACTTTTATTTAATTGCTTAGTTGGTAAAAATGATGTTTTTCTTCAATTTAGATCGAGTAAAATCTCATACTGAGTTCTGCTACATGATTGCCCTACGAGGAAAATGAATGCAAAGCGTTATATCAACATGCAACCTCACCCAACTTTTAATGAACAGGAACGTGAGATTTGGAAGCTATTTCCCCAGCGCTGCTCTTCGTGATACATGTGTCCAGTATTCAATTGAACTGTTCTAAAACACTTCCTATAAGTGCCTTTTGAAAGCATTTCTTTCAAGTACTTTCATAACCTTCCCAGAAGAAATTGTCGTTTCACAATAAAATTTAATGGCAAGATAAGAAACAGAGCATATGTCCCACCTAGATCCTTTGTGGACAAGAATGCCGGCTTTGATGTTTTTTCTCCCGCACTGTTATTTGCAAAGCAGTAATATTTCCCATCATCTTCCCTCTTTACACCCTTTATTACCAGCTTGCTATGACTTTGCTCGTCGTCGAGGAAAATCTCAGCTACTCTAGTCCAGTTGTTAGATTGTACAGCAAGTGCGTCATCGTTCTTTATCCATGTGATAGACGGCATGGGATGACCTTTGGCGGCGCAGTCAAAGGTTGCGTTGAAACCAGCGTCAACAGTTTGGTTCTTAGGATCCTCAACAATTTCTGGTGCCAGGGAAGCTTACACCGGCAATTTCAGATGACGATGGAAATTATTTTTGAAGAAAGAAAGCAAAATTTTGAGAAGCCGTCAGTGAATAAGGAGCAAGTAAAGCAGGGAAGGTAGGTAATTAAGGAAAACGCTAAAGGGATAAAAAGAGCTTCGTCACGGTAAAGACATCTGGAAATAGTAAGCCCACGCCTTATAGAAGTTCTATCATGTCCTATCGATTTTGCTCATGCTTCTCTCTTTCTTCTCTCCATGTTACTTATCCACGAAAAAGTGCACACTTTAGTGTTTTCCATCTAGAGGTTATTAGCACCAACCAACAAAGAGCACTTTGACTTCTCTTAGGTCTGGTAGCTAGTCCATGGAAGATAAATACCAATACGCAGCAATTTTTAGTACGCACAAATCAGTGCGCAAACCGCTTGTTACCACGTTTTCCACTTTACCTCAGGGTTATATTTAATATGAAATATTTTCAAGAAGCTGATTTAAATGGCGGGGTTGTGAGAAAATGAAAAAAGAAATCCCAGTATGGTACGGGTACCATTTGGGAAAATGTTGCTTTATTTTCAGTTTAATCGCTATTATAAAGAAGATATGCGATTTTTTTCGTAAGGCGAGAGCGAATTAGAGAAATAAACAGATGAAAGTTTTTAGAGCAGGCCGTGAGATAACTCGTGGGTTTCGTAAGCAATGAATCATTCCGTATTACTCATCAAGTGTAATGCTGTTTCGAAAATGAAATTTATTCCTCTTCTAATTATCACTATAGAACTTTGACTGTGGCCAGGCAGTATGATTAAAAATCAGCAAATTAGAATGACCTTTATGCTGGCACCACATTTGCTAATTTACTTTATTATGAAATTTCTACGCAAATGTGTGCTCACAAACAATACCTTATCATACAATTTAACTCATGCCATCTCTTACTTTATTGCTTCTCGAGGAGATTACTTTATACGTTTTGCCTACCTTGCAGCTCAATTTCGACAACTTTTTGCGTGCAATATCCCCCATAATCATTCTGAGCCTCACAAGTGTAGTTTCCAAACTGTTCCATAGTCAACCTCTTGAGCATTAATATGCAGTGTAGCTCTTTGACTCTTGGTGTACTCTGCAGGCATTTGTCTCCAACTGGGCTACCCTGAGGATCATACCACTGAATATACTTGGTCCATTTCCTAGGATATAGCTGGTGGTCATTCCTTGGCCACGCTATGCAAGTCAAGTTAATATCT